TCCAGGACAGGAAGTCACCAGAGCCCTCAGGTGTCCAGGACAGGAAGTCACCAGAGCCCTCAAGTGTCCAGGACAGGAAGTCACCAGAGCCCTCAAGTGTCCAGGACAGGAAGTCAGCAGAGCCCTCACAGCACTCTGTTCCTCACTTAGCTTTCGCAGGAAGGGGGTTTTCTAGCATAAACAGCACAGCACACCAGTAGCTTTCTCTGTTCCGTGCTTGACCAGCATTCCAAGGAATTGCTGGCTTAGCACACAGACAGGAAGGCAGTTTTTCAGATGGCACCAGTATGGGCACTGTCTGCTTAAATGTCTCCTTGATTTGGCAAGAGTCTTGGGACCATAAAAGGGACCTTTCAGGGACATGGTGCCAAATGCTCTAGCTTTTCTGAAGGACAATACAGGAATAGAGGGGTCGAGAGAGACACGGAGGTGACACAGCTGCTGTAGTTTGGCATATTCAGGGAGGGCTTCAGGAAGAGGGCGATCTGTGGATGCGGGAGATGGGCGTCACATGCATCGGTGCTCCATCCTTCTCCTCTCACGGTTTCTCCCCCTGTGCCCTCGAGTGCGGCAGCCTCCACACTTCCTCCCCTCGTTTTCAGGATCTGTGAGCACCATCTGCCTTGCTGCCTGTGCAGTTAGGAAGTGAGAGTTGTAAAACCTTCCTGTCATACACAGGTAACCGGCAGATATGACAGATTTTGGAGAAAAGAGGAAAAATGAAAATTAGGCTTCATGGTTGGTCCTGTACACAGAGCACCATATACAGGACAATGTACGCAAGCATTATTATTCATCTTGGAGAAAAGAAATTAATCATTAACGGTCTCGCCACGTTACCCTTGATTGAGGAGTTGCCTGCTGGTAGCCTCAGTGTGTTTGACGGAACTCTGCCTCCAAGTAGTTAAGATTCTCAGACTGACAAGAAGCCCAGGGTCATGTGAAGGAGGAGCTCTTGTGACTGGGTGGACCCCGGCAGCCCAGAAATCAGGACATGGAAGAGTTCACTGATTGCCCCATGGAGGTCTCTTCTGGCTTCCTGGAAGCAGGCCTGGGGTAACCAGGGAATGCAAAATGTGAGGTCTACCTCATTTAACTCTCCTTCAGGAAGGACGGACCCCACTCACAGCCTTTTCCAGGCATCCCCTGCCTAACTAGGTTGGCCAGGAGTTTCTCAGGTGTACCTGACAGGGACTGAGGCCCCTCAGGAAACCTGTGGGACAGGTGCTGGGCCCAAATGCTTGCGGATGAGGAATCCTGCCTGGGTGCACTGAGCTGGCGGTTGGTGCCTGACCGGAGGGTGGTAAGCTGGCCCTGTGCTGCTGCTCGACATGAGGCCCTTGGAAGACACCCTGGGCTGGCTTCCTCTCACGGGGAGAGGGCAGCCTCACCCTTTACCACACGGATGGCCAGAAATTTTTCCTTCAGTGCTTGGGATTGAACGCAGGGCCTTCACACTAAACCACATCCCCAGGCCTTTGTATTTACCTGTTTATTTTTATTTTGAAGCAGGGCCTCACTCCGTCTCCGAGTTGCCCAGGCTGGACTAGAACTTGCAGTCTTCCCTGCCTCAGTCTCTCAAAGTGCTGGGTTTTGTTATCTGAATGAACTCACCTCATGAAGACTTGTCTCTGGGAAGCAGAATCGCCTCAGTACTGAACAGGGGTTTTAAGCCAGGTCAACAAACAGGACTGAGCCTGCCTCTGCCCCGGGCATAGACCCAGTTTATACCTTTCACACGTTGCACCCACTGTTTCCTCTGGTCTCCTTCACTTGGCTCTGTGCTCTGGGGAAGCAAGGGTGAAGTCTGCATGGCAGGAGCAGCCGGAGCAGCCGGAGCCGGCCACACATGGCGCAGGAGCCTGGCGGGTGCCGCTTGTGTGGCTCTCAGGCTGCGATGGGCACAGGTTCTTGTGCTGCCCGTCCCCTGTGCCCGGGGGTGGCCTTTCCCCCTCAGAGCCCGTATTCACCTTTTCCTAAGTTGCTGTGTCTCTCTGGGAACTCTGAAAGGTTTTCTTGGACTTGTTGGAATTGTGAAGCATTATTTGTATGAAAGTGAAGAAGTTCAACCTGTCATATTTGTTGAAGTATACTCTAATATTTAAAGCTAGAAGTTGATTTTAAATAGAAAAAAAATACTTTAAAGAAAAACACAGTTGCAAAGACTGTAGCTAATTATTTCCTGCCATTACATAATTTCTCTAAGCAATGACTAAATATTGGTATTCTTTTTCCATTAATTTTCTTATTTATGCAATATTGTTATTTAAGAAATATGTAATAGCTGGTTGAGGAGGCGCATGCACGCAATGCCAGCACCCTCGGGTGGGGCTAAAGCGGGAAAGGTGCCAGTTCGAGCCCAGCCTGGACAATTTAGCAACTTGGCAAGATCCTGTCTAAGACAGTCTGGAGATGTAGATCAGTGTGAAGGTTGTGTGTTTGACCCTCAGTACTGGGGGAAAAGTAGTGTTTCAGCTACAGTATGTGGGTAGAAGTACAATGGATGCCAACAAAGCCACCAGCCAGCCTAAGGTGGACGTCACCAGTTCCTTGCCTCTGTGTTTTCCTCACCAGCCCAGCCCCTTTCCATCCTCCTGAACCCATTTCCTTACCCAAAGCAATGAAGATGTTTTCTGTTAAAGATGTGGGCAGTCATATTCAGTGTTTCTATTCACTCTCCATTTCTACACTACCTACTCTCAAGGAGAGTGGATATTACTCTCTTTGTGGAAATATCAAATCAGTGAATGTTTTCAGAAATGATTAATTCAGCCTAGTCCACTTTCTTGGGTATTTCCCATCACCCAATGGGACAGACGACAAACCTTCCCACGTAGACACAGAGTGACATCTGTCCACTGTGGGAAGGGGTCACGGTGAGACAGTGTCCATTCTTTGGCACAGAATGTCACCAGATGGGAATACATGTGACAGAAGTTAAGTGGACACATGCAGAAGAGACTAAATGACACGGTGGCCCCGCTTTATAACTCACTCTCTTGATGACTAATCCAGTCCATGGGACCTAAGCCACTCCCATGAGATAGGCATTAGTCTCTTTTGAGGATGCTGTCTCCACGACAGGCCCAAATTCTTAATGGTTCTATTGCCTCTCAATACTGTTACTTTGGAGGATGAAGCTCATGAGTTTTAATAAGAACAAATCACCTCCAAACCACAGCAGGGGTTCACAGATCTAGCTTCCCCTACGGTGGCTTGGTTTGCTTATCTGTTTTTTACCCAGGACTTCCACGCAGATTAAACAAAGGAAACAGAAGGGACGTAGTAAGCATGATTACTTGGGAAAAATTACAGTCATAAAGCCACATGTGAGTTCACCCAGAGTGTAAGGATGGCATGGGACCATGAAGATACACACAGTAAACTCAGTGGAAGACTTAAACAACTGGGCAAACCTTCTACAAATACTTTACCTCTGTGGGGGAAAAGAAGGCAAAAATAATGTGGTCTCTTGAAAGACTAAATTATTTAATCTAAAGAGAGGGAGAGATGAAGTCTTTGAGAAGTGCTGAGGATGAGACGAATAGACAGAATAGAAAAGAGGAGTTCTCCATTTGAGGGGACACCAGTCTCTTCCATGAATATATTTAATTATTCATTTACTGCTTTCCTAAGAATTCCACTGGTATATGGTCAATATACTATACAATCCACCTGCTTAAAGTCTGCCATTCAGTGGGTTTTTCATGTATTCACAGAGATGTGCAACCATCTCCACAAACAGTTTTAGAAACACTTTTGTTGCTCCAGAAGATATTAATAAAGTGTTTGGGATTTTCATCCTGTCTGAGATACTAGGCCAGATGCCATGAGGCAGTGAGACAGAACCCTGGGTTCAGTCTCTCCAGTCCCTTCAGTTCCTTCGTTATCCAGGGGCACATTTAATCCTTTCTTTCTCTTCTACCTTTTTGCTTAAGTTAGAATGCACTACATTCATCCGGCCCTGGCATCCTCCAGACAAGGGGGAGCCACTCCACCCCATGTAACAGGCGTGGTGCAATGTGTCTTCCTTTCTCAAATGTGTGGTGGTGTAGGATTTATTCTAAATGCAGAGCTTTAATGTAATTTTGAGAGGCCTCCGATTTGAAATTCCTCAGGGAATGCATTAGACATTTTGGGACCTTGATATGATAACAATAACAGTTAATTGAGTACAAGGCTCCAGAATGATTGTTCCACATAATTCCATTATGAAAACATCTTGGTTTTTTGTGTCTCTTCAAAAAGAACTGAAATTCTTATTTAGATAACTCCCTGAGTCTCCTATTTCTTGGTGAAGAAACAAAATGCAAGTTGCCTAGATAGGAACTGTGCCTACCCCTGACCAACACAGGATGTGCCTGGCATGCATTGAAATTAAGAATAAAAACAAAGTATTGGAATAAAATGAAAAATCTGTACAGATCAAGGCAACATGGAATCATGAGCTAAAACAATTCAAATTCATAATGTACCAAACCCACAAGCCAAATTTGATAAGTAGTTTTTTATTACCAAATGAATAGATGGAATTAAAGTAAGAGGTGTTGAACATTTGGATATGAAACCAAGTAATCAATAGTGCGTTCTATTTTTGTGGGTAAAAGTGATTCTTGAGCTAATGTAGATAAGAACACAACCACATACACTGTAAATAGACTGGAAATGCTTATATTTCAAGATAATTAGTCTAAAAGTTAAATGAATCATTGGAAAAGGAAATGTCATGGAAGGCACCATAGGGATAAATGTTAGGTTCGGTCTTATTTATGTAATTGTTAATTAGGATGAATAGACTACTTCTGGAAATAGTGGTAGACAGCAGGCCACTTCCTGTGAGCCTGTGATGGATTAAAGTTCTATGCACCCCAAATTCATGGGTTGAAATCCTACC